AGATCAGGTCTACTATTGTTCTTATAGTTGTTTTCAAGTATTTCTTGTCTCAAAATGGCATGAAATGAGTATGTGAGTATGGTGGGGGGAGTTTTTGTTTTTTGTTTTTGACTCCATAGCATACATTCCACACAGCTCTATTTGCTGTAACCTGTCAAAAGTTGTCCTCCCAGGACCTTTTAATAGAAGTTGCATATATAGACATTCATGGGGAAAGCTTATAGGAGAACAAGAGATGAGCCATGCATTAGGATGTCATTGTACAAATCCTGAGACTTACATATAACTGTCCAATGTTGAGACTCAATATGAAAATGGCCTTTGTCTTGTGACATCACCATTCACTTGTCATCTTATTTGCATGTTGTAGCTGGCTGCAATATCATGAGGCCAGCCCCAGTGTCTGATGCAAATACATAAACTGGAGCATTTGTGTGATAATGTCATAGCACTCATGATAAGATTAGCCATCACTTGTACTCCAGATGCTTATGAGTGAATTAGGTAATATGCTAAATCTTAGAGTTCTACCAAGACACTTATATGCTGGTCTTTATCCTCTTACATTAGTATTTCTCCAAGATGAATTTGGTTCACATGAGAGCAGGCCCGTCACTGAACCTTTATAACATGGCCACAGTGGCTGCTGTGAATTTCTTACTCATCAACTATCATTGGTAAATAAAAACAAAAAATAGTGAATCAGTTCTGAGGAAGCTGCTGGAAAAGAAGATAAAATTTCAAGAAGCAGAATACATACAGTACATGATTGTTTCTATTGAATCAAAACCTGATTCAACTTTCTAAAATAATTTTTAGCTAAAGAATATTTGGAGCCTTAAAAAATCTAGACTTAAGAGCCAGAAATATTTTACAGTATGCAAGAGCACAGAAATCTAAATAAAAATGTTGACAAAGGATAGATAGGTTTATTTTAACCAGTCCTTTCTTCTTACTAGTTGTTCCCTGTTGTTCAACTCAGGCCTCAAGATAATGATGTAACATTTGGGGGAAAAGATGCAACCCAGAAGCCCAGCACCCGAGGCTAAGATGGAGAAGATCTCCACAGCCACCATGTATTTCCCCTTGGAGCTCAGGTATGCTGGGACAAAGGACAGCCAAACACTGCAAAAGACCAACATGCTGAAGGTGATGAACTTGGCTTCATTGAAACTGTCAGGTAATTTCCTGGCAAGAAAAGCTGTGGTGAAGCTGATAAGTGCCAGGAAGCCCATATAGCCAAGCACACAATAAAACATGGTCACAGAGCCTTCGTTACATTGCAGGATAATTTCTTCAGTCACTGAGATGATATCAACATCTGGGAATGGGGGACCCATTGCCAGCCACAGAGTACAAATGCCTACCTGGATGAGAGAACAAGAAGCAACAATGGCGCTGGTCAATTTTTTCCCCATCCACTTCCTTATCCTGGATCCTGGTTTGGTGGCCATGAAAGCTAGAACCACTGTGATGGTTTTTGCCAGGACGGAAGAAATAGCCACTGAGAAGATGATGCCAAAAGTTGTTTGTCGGAGAAGACAGGTCACTTTTCCAGGCTGGCCAATGAATAGTAGCACTGAAATGAAGCAGAGCAGGAGGGAGCTGAGGAGAATGTAGGTCAGGTCCCGGTTGTTGGCTATGACAATGGGAGTGTCATGGTTCCTCATAAACACACTTAGCACAAGAACTGTGGTCAAAAACAAGGAAAGTGCAAGAGATGCTAAACCGATCCCTAAAGGTTCTTCATAAGTCAAGAAACTTATAATCTTGGGAATACAGAAATCCTGTCTCTTGTTTGGATAGTATTTGTCTTTGCATCTAAAGCATTCACTTCTGTCTGAAAAAGAATTAGAAGAGCCTAGAATAAGGATTTGTTTAATTTTAGAACTCAATCTATCTGTTTGCTTGTTACAGTGGAGACTTTTTCAGCTTTTTACTGAGGACCTTTCCCTGATAGCTGAAGAAAATGCAGGTGGCTAGGAAGTTAATGTTTCTCAGACTCTGAAGTAGCATTATAGCACTTCTAAACAGTATTCAAACATAGATGCATGCTTTATAATTATGTTTTACAATCTCCTGAATGACAGCTGTTAAGCCTAACAGAACAGAACAGAACAGAACAGAATATTATTATGGTCAGTGACTAGTGTATGTGTTTGTGGGGTGGGGGTGGGGGGAGAAAGAGAGAAAGAGACAGACAACAAAACAAATGGATCATTAAACAAATCAACTCAGAATTCTCACTCGAGGCACAAATGACCAAGCTCAAATTAACCTACTTGAGACACATTATGTGAAGATCTGTCTCTCTGGAAAAGGCTCTAATGTTGGGAAAGATGGAAGGAAAGAGAAGAAGAGGATGACCAGCAGCAAAGTGGATGGACTCAGATACAGTGGTGATGAGTACACCATTGGGAGACTTGAAAGGCCAGGTTAGGGACAGATTGTCATGGAGATTATCTATGTGGCTGCTAGGAGTCGAAAACAACTTGATGGTACATAATTATATTGGCATGCGCACACACACACACACACACACAAAGAAAAAAATGCAGCAAACTTTCCAT